ATCGACACCGGCTGACTATCAGCAAATTAAAGATGATTTAACTAAATGAACTGAAAGATTTAAAGGAAAAAATCCTGCTCAAGTTGAACAAGAGATAAACGACTTAATTGCTAGTGGGGGTAAATTACCAGCAGATTTACCACTTGATTGAAGAGACAAATTAGCTCGTTTGCCTTATTTAGAGAAGGCTAATCAAGACTTAGCAAGTGAAAAGAAGCGGGTTGAAAGAGAATCCAAAGCAAGGATGGACAGTTTAAATAATGATTTGCAAACCAAAGATGACTCAATTAACAGTCTACAAACTGATTTATCACAAATAAGAGCTGAAAACGACCACCTAAAAAATTATACTTTAAAAACCGCCCAAGAAAAACTTAGTAAATGGGTTACCACCTTTAAAGGTCAAGAAGCTTATGAGGTGGAACGGGAACTTAACAAACCCAAGTTAACGACCGAACAACAGGATAAGATTAATAATTACGATGAAATTAAGCGCAAATGAGAGGAATGAACTAAAGCCTTCCCTTTGACCGAATTTTCCACCCCCGAGGGGGCTCGCACTAAATATGATGAGGCACTCAGAAATCAAAAGCCTTTAGATCATGATAAAATTAGCGAGGACTTAAGAGAATGACGACTGGCTTTCCCTTCTCACAAATTTCCTAGAAAACCTGAAGACATTCGCAAAGAATATGATAAATTGGCCACTAACCAAAAACCAACCGATTACGAACAACTTAAACAAGATTTAGAAAAATGGACTAATGTTTTTAGTGATCCGGAGTTTCAAGGAAAGGAACCAACCCAAATTAAGGCGATCATAGAACAGTATAAAGACCAATTAAAGTTGCGTGAAAGCGACTTATTAACTAAGTATCGGGAAGATATTAACCGCTTAGTGGACAGTAATATTAACAGGTTAAAACATGTTAGTAAGGATTCATTGCACAATAAATACGGAGGAAGAAAGGTGGATAAGATTGCCGAATCCGGATTAACTTTAGAAAATGTGCTAGCTTGTAAGCAGAACCTAAATGCGGTGATGGCTATTTGTGCCACCGAAAAAGCCACTG